TTTTTGACTAAAAATCCGATTTTTAGTGAAATATATATCACAATAAATTACGTCAAAAACCACTCGTTTTGCGGCAAAACCTTACGATTAGTCACAAAAAGTATGAATAATTAGTGATTAAATTCGCATTGAATTGAATGCAAGGGTTTTGAGTGAATGTATAAAATGCACGACTCATTCAAATCATAATAAATAGAGTAAAAAGTCATTAAAAAACAACACAATATGTGTATTGTTTGCAAAAAAGTGTCAGCGCCCGAACAGGGACTCGAACCCTGGACCCTTAGGTTAAAAGCCTAATGCTCTACCGACTGAGCTATCCGGGCAACTCATGAATGCACCACTCATTACGTGCCTATTTATTGAGATGCATTACATTTACATTGTATGATAGCTCTATGCGCTTACTCTTTGCCGGCTTTTAGTTCACGCCTTTAATGTTAAGTCAAATCTAATTTTTCATTTTAAATCCCGATTTTTAAAAATTATGTTTTATTAATAGTGAAGTCGTCTTCTCTGGAATGCATACAAAATACAGTATGAAATGAGAGAGAGAGAGAGAGAGAGAGAGAGAGAGAGANCAAGACTAAGGCTCGCAAGAGGTCTGTGAAGGCGGAGGTGGAGAGCGAGGAGAGGGAAGAGGGAGAGGTGGAGGACGACGACGAAGACGTGGAAGAGTTCAACGATGGCTACGACGAGAACCTGATGGGCGACGAAGACGACCAGAAACGGCTCGCTTTGATGACAGAGAGGGAAAGTTAACAAAAGTTATAATTTAAATTGAAGTCAATATGACTTAACGCTTAATACAATAATTCAATAAAACATTTTATTCAATTGAGTGATTGATTTAAATCGTGAATTCATAAAAACCTAATCTCTGTATTAAAACTAATTAGAGCTCTGAATGCAAGTGTCGCTCGTCTTCATTATGCGATTGACTCCAACAGACGGCGGGTGTCCTGAAGTCAAAGGCGTATTCACAGCGGGAGGGCTCGGAGGCGGCCAACACCTCATTCTCGGTGCCACAGCTCAGGTGTACAGTGACTGACCTGACGGGTCCGTTCCAGCACTGAGCCCCGCCTTCGAACTTCATTCGACTATATTTATTATTGTCGTCGCCGTCCCATTTGCCCCAACGACTGATTCACAAGGTTTCAACACAATTAATGTATTGTCACTAAAAGAGTACATCGAAAACATACCCCAAACTAGTCTCAGAGCCGCCAACTTTGGGCCGTTGAGAGGCGCTATCAAATGGACACAACTTATAGGTGTACTCGAGATCAGTTAACTCAAAGCACTGGCCCTGAAGTGCCATAAACTCATCGTTGGGTCCGTAATCAGTCTCGAGTGTGACTTCGATTTCGCGGATTTTGTTGTTAATGTCGAGAAACTTGCCCTCAATCTCAGAATAGGCCTCTTTAGCCACTTTCGCCTTTTCAATCAATTGCTTCGTCTGGTCGTCGTATTCAACGGTGGGCTGTGTTGTGGTCGTGGCCTCCGGTTCGGCGTCTTTCGGCGGGAAGAAAGGCGGCGGAGTGTCCTCCACGTCGTCCTCCTCTTCAGGCTTTTCATTACATTTCAAATTATTTCATTATTTTAATTATCAGTTCATTCATAGATTATAATTGAGATTAAATTCACGCAAAATCACACAAATTAATAGCAAGTTCTAATATCTAATATCTCACCACAGCCTCCGACTCTCCAGTGTTTGTCTCATCGATAGGTTCTTCCTCTGTGTTCACATCAGGAGAGGGATCGGGTTCTGAAGGATTAGTTTCTAAACCTTCATTCTGTTCATGTGTTTGGAAATCATGCTATTATTGTGAACACAACGCAAATCACATTACGTTAAAAATGATGCAAATGTGTTAAAAGTTAGCAAAAGATTTTATAAATAGAAAGTTTTATACCAGAGTTTTGTCTTTCATGTAAAAGGGTTTCATTATAACCCAACCCGACTCTACAAACTCGTCAAATGCCATCTCTGTTGCCGCGTGAATGAAGAACTGATCCACAAAATAGACAATACATTATAATAATAACAAATGTATTAAAAATTGATGGCAAACCTTAGCCTCATCTTCGGAGACGACTCCATCGCCGTCTTTGTCGAATTTGGAGAACTCTTGCACTTCGGTATACGATAGGAGTCCGTCTTTATTCAGATCCATATCATTAAAGGCCTGTTCGGCAAACTTTCGGTCCTCTTCTTGTTGTTTCTTCTGCTCCTCTTCTTCTCTCTCGCGTTTCATTTGATCCTCAATTTCCTTATAGACATCGAGCGCTGCCTTCTCTCGCTCTTCGGCGTCCTTTTTGACCGCGTCTTTGGCGTTCTTCTCGTCTTCCACTTCCACTTTCTGGCGCTTCAGTTCTTCGAGTTCTCGTCTCGAGTTCTCCTTCTTTTGTTTCGCTTCATTGATATATTGCTCTCGAATTGCATTTCCCTCCTTAAGAAGTACTAAATGGTGTTCTCTCTCTTGGCGTAACTGTTCTCCCATTTCGAGACAATTGTTTGGACATTGAGCTGAACTATTGTACTCATCGCTGGCATCGCAACAATCTATCACAAAACGACAATACAATTAACTCATTGACACATTCATTGAAGTGAATTGAAGAAGTGTTGATCCAATCAGATTCATACCACAGATGCCATCGTTGACTCGCGAAGAAGGGATCAGACTCTCGACGTATCCGAGATTAGAGCAGTGAAAGAGTCCATTAGGACAGGCATTAGTTCCCGGCTCATCGCTGCCGTCATCGCAATCACAGTAGTCGTCGTTGACTAACATGAAGGGAACAGATGCCGATCCGTCCAGACATTGAAAGTCTTTGTTCGGGTCGTAAAATATCTTCTCTGAAAGAGAACAGTTAGCGATGAATCAAATGCGCGAAGAAATGTGCGGATAATTACTGTCGAGAGACACTCCTCGAGGTCTGAGCACTTCTGTGGCGCTTTGGATCCGATCTAAAAGTGATAATAAATATATAAATACTAAACCAAAGGTCGGTTTGAATAACATTTTTGTATTGATTGCAGTCTTAAGAGCGAAACTGCGATAAAAACATTAAAACATGCGTTAATTGTAACAAAATTTTGATTGAAATTAGTTTTAATTTCCAATCGTTTAAACAATATATTGGTGTAAATAATGTGATGTTTGTGTTGTAGTCATAGAAACCGCTTATTATAACGTGTACTTCAATACAAATCATCTTTTTATACAACACTTTATTTTCACATAAAACTCGTCAAACATTTCTAACAATTGCCTCATTTTTTGAAAACACAATCATTTTACTGTTAATAAATTATCAACACTTTAATCACATGGATTAGTCTCCCAAAAACAAGACGTGAATCCTGTAAATTCCTGTCCCGTCCCATTCCTGTACAGGATTGGGACGGGACAGGAAAAGATTTTCCCTATGCTTACAGGAATGGGACGGGACAGGAATGGATAGCTTCAGGACAGGACGGGACGGGAATGGGTTTAAGACAGGAAAATACAGGAAAGTGCAATAAAATATTTTTTGAAAATTAATTTCAGTATTTGCAAGTACTGTATGATATGGTATATGTAGAATACAAAGGGATCCGACTGTACGGCGCCTACGGGAGCGTATGAGACTCAAAATAAAGCCTTGTTTTAGCCAAACGATAGGCGCCAATGAATATTGGACAGGATATATGCCGACAGGATTTACAGGAAATTACAGGACGGGACAGGAAAATATTTTGACATTTAGTACAGGATCGGGACGGGACGGGAATAGATATCTTCAGGACAGGACGGGACAGAAATGTGTTTTAGCTAACATTTGGAGCACTAACATGGATATAACATTTTGTTTAACTACTTTTACATTATTAATTCTCTCTCTCTCTCTCTCTCAACTAAATAAACTTAAACAAAGTTTTATATCATTTTCTTTATTAAACAATAATAACTTAAATTTTATTGAAAATATAAAAATAGATATAATTTAACATTATTTTTGGTCTTCATAGTCGACAACTGGCGGCCAATCGATGTTTATTTCCTTAAGAATTCAATTAAAAAGCCATTAGATTTGTATAACTTATTAATAATAAGTTCAATAAATACCATAACATCGAGTTGTATGATATCAGCGGCACAATCGCCGCCTAAGATTGTGGCCAACGACGGGACAGTGCGGCCAAAGTCCGAGTGTACAAACTCTTTGATATAAGTTCCCGCCTCTGCCGTCAGATTCAGATAAAATATACGATCAATGAATGGCTTGTGTTCGTCGCTCACCACCTCTTCGGTCACTCTCTCAGCCGTCAACTTATAGACAT